GGCCATTTCAACCTCCTCCACGGTGAGTGTCTGGTCCTCAATCAACTCAACGGAAGTTGCCGAGGTTGCCGAGGAAGCCATTGCTTGGTCGGGGTTAAGTTCGAAAATGCAAAAGATCAAAGTTTTTCAATCAGCTTGGGTTCCAGGAACCCAGAACAGTGCTTGAGCCAAAATGGCACATGCCATTGTGGTCAAGCATTCCACACACAGTTCATGTTTCCACATGCGTTTCAACATTAACAAATTATACAATCAATCCCTGTGCTAAGAGGTAAAAACAGCAATCTGCACAAACTCTAAAAGCACGTCTAAAAAAAACATATAAAAAATATGGCTGGGAACCGCTCCACAGAAATCAGTGGGTTAAATGTTTGGCTTAAGCGGAAATGACTCTCAAAAGTAATTTTAATCGCGGACTTTTCGCCTTGAGCCCCCATAAGAGATGCAGGGTCCAACGAGGTGTTAAAAAGGGAAATGCAAGATCAAGGGGGCCAAATCTTTTTGACTACCCGCCTTTTCAGGGGTTTCTCAAAAGGTGGACCTCCTTTTGGATAGTTTTCAGGGAATGGAAAGACAATTCTTGTCCCTTGGTGATTTTGAGAACCCCTCGGGCTCACCAACCAAGAACAAACATAGAACGAAATGACCAAGGACAACCTATGGGAAATGGGTGTGGTTTTCTTTGGAGTTGGTAAGTCATGTGAGAACCGTCGTTTTCAGCAATGATGATTTCGCCTCAGCGAAACGCAAACTGATGCCCCAAGTCGTCAACATGAGTGTTCTCTTTTTTGAGTTTTGTGCTCTTCGCTAAGGCGAAATCACTGTAATTAGACTGCTTCCCCGGCAAGTGAAGGTTTCGGACGCCTTGGTTGTCACCAGCCGAAAGGTTTCTTGCGCGCATCGCCGAGGCAATCAAAAACGGGCCTTGCTGAAAATGATCATAGCGCGCGTGCATGACTATGAGCGCGCACGCAGTCGAGCGGCTGTGCTTCTCATGTGCATGACTATGAGCATAGCTGCGCGCACGCAGTCGAGCGGATGTGCTTCTCATGTGCATGACTATGAGCATTGCTGCGCGCACGCAGTCGCATGACCATGAGCATTGCTGCGCGCACGCGGTCGGGCGGACGTGCTTATCATGTGCATGACAATGAGCATTGCTGCGCGCACGCAGTCGGGCGGATGTGCTTATCATGCGCATGATTATGAGCATTGCTGCGCGCACGCAGTCGGGAGGACGAACTTATCATGTGCATGACTATGAGCATTGCTGCGCGCACGCAGTCGGGCGGACGTGCTTATCATGTGCATGACTATGAGCATTGCTGCGCGCACGCAGTCGGGCGGACGAACTTATCATGTGCATGACTATGAGCATTGCTGCGCGCACGCAGTCGCATGACTATGAGCATTGCTGCGGCGTGCAAGCAGTCGGGCGGACGTGCTTATCATGTTCATGACTATGAGCATTGCTGCGCGCACGCAGTCGGGCGGACGTGCTTATCATGTGCATGACTATGAGCATTGCTGCGCGCACGCAGTCGGGCGGACGAACTTATCATGTGCATGACTATGAGCATTGCTGCGCGCACGCAGTCGCATGACTATGAGCATTGCTGCGGCGTGCAAGCAGTCGGGCGGACGTGCTTATCATGTTCATGACTATGAGCATTGCTGCGCGAACGCAGTCGGGCGGACGTGTTTATCATGTGCATGACTATGAGCATTGCTGCGCGCACGCAGTCGGGAGGACGAACTTATCATGTGCATGACTATGAGCATTGCTGCGCGCACGCAGTCGGGCGGACGTGCTTATCATGTGCATGTCTGGGCGGATGCGCTTATCATGTGCATGACTGCATGACACTGAGCGTTACTTGCACGCACGCAGCTAGACGAAAGTCCTTCCCAACATCGGGGAAAACTGCAATGGCTTGCTAGAAGCACCGTCTTTCAAAATTGATCTGTGGGAGACTGATTGGAGGGTGCCTCAGGGTTTACTTCGAACATCGAGTGAAAAGTACAGAACCCCTGTATGTGCCTTACAGGTGTGAAACGCAAACTGGCTCAACGGAGCAAAGGGGGCTGAAAAGCTGGGTCCAAGTTGTTCGGTTTCCACGGCAAACCTGATAAGTCTCGGATCTTCTGCTTCAACGAGAGCGGACAAATGCATTTCTGCTGGTGATGTTCTGGGATCCCCGTGCCGGTCGCTGAAAACATATAAAAACTACGGTATCCATTCCCTTTTGGCTTTTGGGTACACCATGCGCCATTTAGCGCTCTGCAGGGAAGCTGACCGGAGACCATGGATTTTGGGGCTCGGATTTCGAGCCGACTCAATGGCCTGCCACAACCCCGCAGCCAACTGCAGCTGAGCCAAGGGCCTCAATCATCTTCCGGTTGTACGGGTATGGCACGTACCTGTCCCACGCGAATGAGATATCCAACTGTGAACCCGCCCGTTTCAAGACAGCGCCCATGTTCGAAACCTGTGGCCTGATGCCGGTCGCTTAAAAAAGAGGCATGTTGAAGCTTTTGTCAATTGCGGTTAAAAGCGTCTAAGGGAGAACAAACTGGGAACCAAGATTCCCAACAAATTCCCCCAGTTGCCTCGTGGCATGAATCTCTGCCCGACGTCGCTCTCCCAGAACAGCGGCCAAGGCCAAAAAACGGCGGCCTCACTTTTTGGCTGTTGAATCAAAAAGGAAATCCCTCAACCAATAGCAAAAAAGGGCACCACAGGGTGTCGACTCGCTTGTGCGGCGATTGAAGGTCACTCGCGGGTGCAGCCTTGCTCTTTGAACATCTTCTGGTAGTGATCCTTTCGGCCCGGCTGTCGAGATGTCGGCCGTGTAAGCCACATGCTATTTTTTGGAGAGCATACGGCAACGATATGCAGATGGATAATCTTCAACCACAAACCCGGGATTCAAAGAACTTCTGTCATCATCTTAGTCAAGATATGCTTCAGATGGCCCCCAAAAGCCAAAGGAAGACCATTGCACGTGGGTCCTGACATCGTCAAATACCGCTTTGCTGGGTAGGGGCTGTAGCCAAACGCGCAGCAATCGACTGGAACTGGTTGTCAAATACCCATCGCAAATAGCAAGAGTAGTCTTTGCAGCAGCATCGTGACTATTAGTAACTTCTTGGAGCCAACAACTGCTATAATTAAGACTGTTAAGAGTGATGACCTTCCTATTTTCCCTGCGCTTCCTATGGCTTGCTGTGTTATTCTGGGTCACTGGTCGACGTGTGTCTCCCTTTCAAAGCGGCACCTTCGATGCACCCCGTAGCAATCGGGGGCTGGTTTCAACACCCACATGTGGTCATACTTGAGGGCCCGGCCCAGTCAGCAATGCCTTCGGATCCCGGCGCAGCGGCGTAGCGTTCGATCTCTTTGAAGTTTCTGGAACCATGTGGATCCCTGCGTGTTTTGCTTAATAACTTACTTTGGTTGTCTAAAAACCCTAAGGGTTCAGGACCACACCTTTTTCCACCATGGCATATGCTGTGGGTGGCCAAAATCACTTCGCACCAGTTGGGATGGATAGAGCCCTATCAATATATACTGGGGCAAAACATCTGAATCTTCCAGATGTAGGATTCCGCTCATGCACGGTATGATCATATACTTGATTCCCAAGGGAGTAGGAACGCAGCAAGCCGAACGCAGTTGATTCATATGCCAACATGCGCACCTGATCTGTGAACGAGCAAGGCGCCCCTCTTTGACTCACTTCCGGAGAGGGAATGCTACCAGAATCCACATTGATTTACAACAATTCAATGGTCTAAACATCCAAGAGTAAAGGAACCAAGTGGGCTCGCCATTGAGCAAATGCTGACTAAATGGCCTTCGGAAAATGCATAAAGTCCAATACGCAAATGAGTTGAGCCCGGACTCGTCTTTCAGCTGAAGCATTCTTTCCAAGTGAGCGGCATTGCTCAAGGAAGTAGTCCACGGGATGCCTGGCAATGTGTAAACCCGAAGATGCCCCGAGGGTGCACGCTTCGACCTGGGGCCTGCAAAGATTTCGAAGCAACTGAGCCCAACATGGGCCGAAACAACATGAACCGAAAAAGGCACATTCCAACACCTGAGGTAAGAATAGGATCCCCAAGCAAAGGACCTTCATGGTGAGCTCGCCCAGTTTTCCCTCCATTGGCTCACATGCGAAATCGCGATGGGACGCGATGCACGGCACACAGCCCGGGTCGCTCCCACAAGGTGCCGGTTGCCAATTCCCGGCTCCGAGGAAGATGTGATTGCGAGCACGCTTTGAAGCTGCGCAGGAAAAAGTGAAGGGCTCAAGGGCGCCTTGCATTCCGGACGTCTTGTCCCGAATGCAATCGCAGCGAGAGTACGTTGATAAGAAATCAATCAATTGATCATGACAAGTCTGCTTATCCAGGCTAGTCAACCCAAAAAGAAGCCAACAGCCTATTCATCCTGTAGATCTGAGGGAACAACTATTTTGCTGAAGAACCACTCTTCCAGCTACATGAAACCTGCTAGAAGACCATGTTCCTGTTCAAGAAGCCTTCTGGCAAGTTCCATGGGTGACCTTTTCCGAGAGCAGTGAACCCGGACCTGTTGCCAAGGCAAACCAGGGCACCGAATGGCATTGGGCATGGCTTGATCAATTTTCCATGGGCTGCAGGGGACTATCAACCCAAATTACCTCATGGGATCATAATCCTCCATTTGCGTTTCAGCCCCCTGGACAAAAAGGAAAGCATATGATTGCAATCTAAATAGACCCCTTTCAAACCCAACAGGGAAGCATAACCCAACAACTTCTTCGGCAAATGGAAGTAACGTGCTTATCCAAACCTACCACCCAAAATCATGTAAGGTAATTAAATAGTGACGAGTCGCATGGCTGGGTCCTTCCTTGGCGCTGGTCCGGTGTTCCCCGCAACTAGGTCCTCCAGTAGAGACGTTAGAATAAGGGTACTTGTTTGTTGTTTTTTTTTGTGTGTGTAGTCTATTTTAGTAGGGGAACCCTCCCGGAGAGAAGGGCACTGGGGGACCTAGGCAAGTCTACTGCGCCTTGGCGCGGCTCATGGCCTTCAAGGCCGTGGCCGTTTTCAGCGCCGCCACCAGCTGCCGCTGCAGCTCGCCCTTGCTGCTGCGCACCTCCTGCAGCTCCCCCTGACGCCGCAGAGCGGAACCGAAGCGCAAAAAGGGGACCAACGAGAAAAAAACGCGAAGCAGCCAAGGAAACCACATGTTTTTGAAGGCCAAAACGGGCGATGTCCAAAAAAAGAAAAGGGGAACTATGGGGACTGTTGAGGCGCGCGTGCGCCCCGTGGGACTGCTGGAATCCGCTCCCTTTACAAGTAGGAAGACTCCTAAATTGCCACCCAGAAATTGCCAATCTCCCAAAGATGTCGATAAAGTACACCTGCATGTGACAAGCACAGTGCTCCTTACAACTTGAAATCGGGCTACTCCGCTCACCAAAAATCGACTTTCAAAAAGGGGACCGGCCTTTTGCAACCCCAGGGCTAAACAGACATGTGAAATGAAGGTCAGAAAGCAGGTTTGACACCACATCCGGGACACTCTGTGGTTTCCAGGGCTCTATGTAGCTAATCCTAGGAGTTCTGGTTGCAGCGCTCCCTACATCGTCGAAGGGAACCTATGGAACCGCTCATCCATGTTCTACATTTGTTGGCTCCGGAGCGGAACGAGACAAAAAAAGTGCCGAACTTGTTGTTTATCTTAAAAACGGACTTCCCAAACAAGTTTAGTCTACTTGATGACTGTTGCCCCCTGCCCAAAAGGCTTCACTGTCGCATGTCAGTGGGAAACCGGGAGTTACCCGGTCGGCGCTGGTTCTCCGTCTTGCTCATCTTGCGCACCGGAAGAGGCCATGGCCGCGTTGCAGACTAAGCATGCCAGTGACAGGAAGGTGAACTGGATTGTGCCAAAGAAACGCCTTTGATCGACATGGTTGACAGGGCACTTTTATAGATAGAAACCAGCTGGGCATATCTGCAAATAGTCTCCACCCATCAAACATCGGCTGTTCGGCGATCCGCAAGTCAAAACACATGTCATCAAGCGTACACAAAGCCTAGTTCATGGGCTGGAGTCAACAAGCACCTCAAAGGAGCCGTTGTGGTCCACTCAAACTACCAAATTCAAGCCACGTTCTGGTCGGAAACAAAAAAAAACGAATGGGCACACCTGCAGCTGCTCCAGCGCATCCCCGCTGGAGTTCGCCTGGGAATCTTCCAGTGAGTAAAACTCGTGGTACATGTATAGTTGGTTTTAAAAGACATCCCAAACTCTTCCAGGAGCCCCAACGGCTGGCACATGGTCTGTGGAATGATCTCCTAATGGCTGTTTTGGGGTTCTTTGCGATCCATTGGCGGGTCCTGGTTGTTGCCGTCGCTGCTGGGAACCAAAGGCGTTTCAGGGCACACGTACAAAAGAATCGGTGTTCGTCTCCTCGGGACAAAAAGGTACACATGTCACAAACTGGTACATGAAAACTAAAACAAAACAACAAAAATATAACGTCTTCAACAACCAAGCTGACCCCCGAGGGACTCCCATCCGTTGGCCAGACCTGAGGTACGGGTCCCTCAATTTGGTGGACAGGTTTGGGAACCTACTTTAGGGCTTCAGTAGGCAACACGACATCCAACGAGTATCATCATGCCAGCGCGAAGAGTGTGCAACATGTTGTTTTACTGAGAAGATACAGGTTTCTCAAAGCAGTTCGCTCAAGATCCAACCAAATAGCCTCCACTACTCCAAATGCAATCTGTTTGCAGGCTTAACGAATCATGTTGATGTCAATGACCAAGTAAAAATGGGGGGATTTCTACCAAGCCCGGTGTTCAATCACTAAAAACATACAGTATCCGGGTATCCGATTTGTTTGCAGGTCAAGCTTAAACTCCCAGGCATGGAAGCCGCTCCAAAAGGAGTTTCTTCGGCTTTCCCAAAGCCCGGAAGGCGCCATGATACATGTCGGCATGGCAAAAAACAACCTTCACCAGCTGGTAGGGTCTCCATGGTAGCAGGTGGTTTTCCGGTGGATCCCTTAAGGAACGGGAGACCGAGAATCTCCTTTGTATACATTGCATCCCCAGCAAGGTTGTAATTTGCAGAAAATGGAAACCAACAAAAACATCCTTTCTAGACCAATCTCCTTTTTGGGGACCTCTTTCTGAGCCCAGTGGGGAGAAGAGAAGTTGAAGTCAAATAAATCAATCAAATAGCAGTCAAGAAGTCTTTTGGCCTGTGTGATGCATTGCGCCGATTTCCCCTTGTGGTGGGACCCTCAAGGGCTGTTAAGAAGACAAGCCAAGGAAGCTGTTTTCAACATGTCCCAAGGGTGATCAGATTGTGAAGGAGAACTTAAACAGAAAAAAAACCATCCATTTCAGGGTCCTTGTCGCAAGAACCCATTGTTGCAGCACATTATTTCGGAACAACTGCCCTCTCTCTCTGGGTTCATTAAAGTGACATCCTTAAAAAATGCTTCCCCCCACAAGCTGGTGCTTCAAAGATGGCTTCCATCCCGAGCATTTTTCAGAACCCCACTCCAAATACGCACAACAGGAAGCTCACAACTTCCCAGAACCCCCCCACCCCCTGCCCGGTAAATTCTCCATCCCCTCCCCAGGACTCCCGAAAGGCTGGCAAATGGTCTGAATGACCTCCCAATGGCCATCGCAAGGGTCCTGGCCAAATTCTCATCCCCCCTCCCTCTTCCCAGTATTTTTTTGGAGCCCCCCGTCACTTTCAGCACCCCTCCGCGCCATGCCAGTAGCCTCAGCCTGCGCCAGTCGCTGCTCCGCCTCCGCCAGCTGCTGCCGCGTCTCCAGCAGCTCGGCCCTTCGGACGCAAGACCCAGTCACTTCCCATGTGGACCATCCGAAAAAAACACCAACATGGTCTTCCCAAACTTGTTGCTTACCTACAAAATCGTGTTGTTTACCACCAAAATGGTGCAAACCCAAAAAGTGTCGAAAGTCCTTTTAGATCAGGAAGTGAGGGGTCCCACTTCGCCTGGCCCTGACCCTGTGCCATATGAAGTCTTGGACTGAAAGTACTCCTGAAAAACGTACTTCCTGAATCTTCCTGACCCCTTGTTCTCCATATTTCGTCTACCCATGGCATATTTTGGAGACCCCAGACTTGCCGGTGAGGTAAACTTTGAGTTCTGTTAAATTCGGTGTAGGGTCGAGAAGCCACCGGTTGAATTGAATAGCCCCATTTCCTCTGGGGAGTGGCTTGAGGGTGATAACCATCTTAGATCAATCCCTGCCTAACCAGCAAGCTAGGGAGGCAATCTTAGATCGCCCTTCGGCCATCCAGGCAACAGGTGGCCAGAAATTGGCACCATTAGATCCACGGTTGGATTCCCTCAACATGCGTGTCGTTGTTGAGGCATTGGGGTCGGGGTCGGGCGGGATCCCAAGGCTTCAAAATGCGCCGAGACGCCAATCTCAAAATGGGGAACACTTTTGTTTGGATCCAACCTGCTTTTTGGGGCCAACTGCCATGGTTCTCAGGAGAAATCACATCTAACTTCCCTTTGAACAAATCAGAAAGGGTGCCTTCAACAATCAAAGGCAAAAAGCCATGTCATTCCCCAACTCTGAATGGAAGTCATGTAGATGTCTTGCCCTCTGTGACTTATGCATGATGGTCCCTTTACCTGGGAAGCTGCAGCAATGGCAGAAAAAAATCCGCCCCGGCCCTGACTGCACATAGAGGTCGCGGGTTGGGACGGGCAACGTGGTAAGCACCCGAATCAATGAGACAGCTTGATGCATCTGGTCAACATGGGAATGGTGAATGATGTGTTCACTCACCCCCAGAAGGGCACTCTCAAAAAAACACAAACACAACAACAATGGGACCACTGTCTGGGTTAATCTCAACTGTATGATCGTCCCAAAAAAACAAAACAGAATCCTAAACTTGGGTTGTTCGCCCACAATGGGTGTTCCCTGGAGAAACAAATGCAGTAGCAATTTCTTGGTTCCCTCTTGCACCTGAAAGGCGGAAGGTCATTTCAATGCGTGGTGTTCAAACAAGTTGTGTGTGGGAAACTGTCCATGATTGAAAATCATCCACTGTACGGATGCGTTCCCAAGAAAGACTAGTTGGAGCCCAATCGGTCTGGTTACGACCATGCTGGCATGATCTATGCATGCTCAGGCTTTGTACCGAAAGACAACTCACTTCTTAAGTTGTTGGCCGAAAGCAGCCCAAGCTTTTCGATTGCCAGTAAACTCATCTCCCAACTGAAAAAAGTCCAGAAACTTGGGGAGTCAAACAAGACTTGGCCCACATTGTGGCTACTCCAACATGTTATTTTGTTGACTCTGTTCTATCTTTGACCCTAAAATACGAAATTGTGTCAAGGCCTTCAAGGATACATCCAAACTCACCTGCAGCCTGAGGGAACCCTCTAACTCAAATTCGACTGCTTTTTTACTGGCCCCAATGCATCCTTTCAGGGCCTCTGTTGGTTCAGTACCCATTCAGAGGTGCCGATTCCTATCTGCACTTTGGCCGAACAGTTGCGCCTCTGCTGATCCGGCTGAATGGCCTCAAAGCGTTGCTCCTGTCCGCGGATTAGGATGCTGGGCCAGAGTTGACATGGACCTATCTTATTTTACAACTATAATCAACAGTTATTCTAATACATGCACACCCTTGACGTACCATACGCAGTATAACAATAACCATTAGGATCGTTAAAATCAAGCGAGGCTTAAGGGGCTCCCGAACCTCAGTGCGACGCCTTGCCTTGCATGCTTCCCAAATCCACCCACAGCTTGACTGCAAGGAAGCTCACCAGGGTCTGAAACGCATCAAATGCCCGGTGGTCAGGACACCTTATTGCGTTTTATCCAGATCTTAACTAACTTTGAACTTGGCCAACACGGGTAGTGTGGCTTGGTCACTAACTGGGATATGGACCTCCCTTTGACTTTTCTTGGAAGCCACTCCACAAAAAGTAAGAAACAAAACGGCACCAACAACACTTATGCATGCACCCTTTCTGATAGGCGACCTTAAAGGAAATCCCACTCCAACAAAAAGCAAAGGGGCACCATAAGCCCAATAAAGGGCCCAAACACTTGGAGGGGGAACGACTCCAACGTTCAATCAAGGCATACTCACAAGAGAAGGATGTGGTTGACATGGCATGGCAGCACCCACAAGGAAATACCCTGTGAAATAATTCTGAGCCAGACTTAACCCCCCCTGCAAACTGTTGACTTTTTGCCGGTAGGGGAACATGATGGAACACCAACAGGGCAAAAGTTAATAGGGGCGAGCGAAGTCTGGCAATGAGTATTCCGCGCGCCAACTTGCCTTTGCCTAAGTCCCCAGAGCCCCGGAACATATGAGGATGTTTGTGGTGGATATAGACTCCCTTTAAGACGAGCAGGGGGTCATTGCAAATTTCTCGTTCAGAAAATGGGTGTGTCTCCAGATAGGTGACCCCTTTTTGGTGGTCTTAAAAGAGAAGCAATAGGAGACCACCTGCCCAGGGCTGTGGGAAATGACCAATGACCACTTCTGTGATGAAATACAAAGGGCTTCCCAAAGACTAACACCGCATATAGCGTGGGAGATTCCCTTGTATCCAGTGGGAATAAACCCCAAGTGATCCCACAACCCTGCTCACCTGGCTACCTGGTGGCTTCTGGTTTATGCAGCAAATTGCCCAAGCGATGGAAACAGCATTTGCTGAACTTGCAGTCATGAAACCCATTTGAATCGAGTCATGTGCTCCCCAAGGCCATTCATGTCATAGAGGTCATGTTGAGAAACGCCCCACGGAGGCCATTTGAGTCACAATCAAAACCTGGTACAAACATGGTGAACCCAGAACCATGTAAAGAATTAGAAAGGCCGCCGCAACTATTTCCGGCTGGGACTGCTCCTTACTAACCTTCATCTACCCGGGTTTTGATTGTGGCTAGAGATAGCGATGCTGTCTGTCGTGTCTGGTTTTGATTGTGGCTCATTTGACCCGTCCGGCTCCTTGGCCATCTGCGCTTCCAGCTTTGCCTCAGCGGAGGCCCGGGCCGCGCGCTCTGCAGCCAGCTGCTGGAGGCCTGGCGATGTGGGTCAAGGGACGTGGCAACGGGCGTTAAACAACCTTCAAGCACCAGGACTCCCCAATGCCTGGCAAATGGTCTGTGGAATGACCTCCCAATGGCTGTTTTGGGGCTGTTCCGCTTGGTCGATTCAAATCAGCCTAGCAAAGTTCTTTAGAACCTCTTGGGCGACTGAATGTGCTGCTTCCCAGATCGGATCTGGCCTTCTTGCAAGTTGCGGTCGCTCTTGTTCAAGTCGTCCTGAGCAGCCTCCATCGAGAGCAACCGCTCCTGCCATCAAACAGTGAGCAACTGTGCCCCAAAGAAAACAAGTGTCTGCTGCCAGGGGCAAAGCACATGTTTATGTCTCCTGCAACTGCTGCTTCGTGGCTTCTGCTGCCTGGCGTTCCGCTTGCAGCTTTGGAAGCTGCGACTGCAGGTTCTCCAGCTCCGCGTCAGCATTGGCTCGCGCCGCGCGCTCTACCGCCAGCGCGTCCTTGAGCGAGCTCAGCTCTGCTGACTGGCCTGGCAAAAGCTTTGCCTATCCGTCTCTCCGGCCCGTCAACTTTGCATTCCATGGGGGGCGTGAGCCAGAACCCAGGCGACAACTCAACCACAACCATGCGCAGCGAGTACAGTGAGGGCATTTGTTCCATCCTCTTGACAATCAAAAGAAAATGCACCCAGTTCAGCTGGGTCAGCTACTAAATGATCCGCCTTGCCAAGCATTCTTGGTGCGCTGACCACTCCTGAAGCTCTGGCTCACATAGCTCGGTGCACGTGCAAAGTTCATGTCCCGCAGTCCAGCCTTTCAATTCGTTCTGAGCAGCCTCCATCGAGAGCAATCGCTCCTGCATCGAAGTATCAGCACGGCTCTGGACAAGGCTCGACGCTTCTCGCAGAAACTGCTCCTGCAACTGCTGCTTCGCGGCTTCTGCTGCCTGGCGCTCCGCTCGCAGCTTTGGAAGCTGCGACTGCAGGCTTTCCAGCTCAGTCTCGGCGGCATCTCGTGCCGCCCGTGCCGCCGCCAGCGCGCCTTTGAGGGAGGACAGCTCCGCTGCTGACTGGCCTGGCAGGCGGCTCTTGCAGCGCGCAAGCGCCATGCAAAGAACAATGCAAAATGAATTTCTGCGAACGTTGGCTATCGCGCTTGATAAGCGCACTCGGTGCATTGATCACTTGTGGAGCTCGTGTCTTTACTCCTAGGAGTCCGTGCAACTTTCATGTCCCGCTGTCCTTTTACATCGTCCTGAGCAGTCTCGATCGAGAGCAAGCGCTCCTGGCATCAAAAATGTAAGGCTTGGCACGTGTCGAGGAGGGACAACCCAAGATGGCTGGGCACTTCTTGAGGCACTGCGCGTCCCTGCTAGCCAGGGCATGTGACACACTTTGCTTTGCAACGCGGTGGCTCCTGCAACTGCTGCTTCGTGGCTTCTGCTGCCTGGCGCTCCGCTTGCAGCTTTGGAAGCTGCGACTGCAGGCTTGCCAGCTCAGCGTCAGCAGCGGCTCGCGCTTCGCGCTCTGTCGCCAGCGCGTCCTTGAGGGAGCTCAGTTCCGCTGACTGGCCTGGCAAGCGGAGGCTCAACACTTGCAGCGCACAATCACTGTCACAAAGAGAAGCAGCTGAATGGGCAGAATGCCTGACTGCATGGTAGCTCAAGGCAACTATGAAACATGAGCTTCCACCATCACTGCCTGAAGAGCTGTGGTCAAACACCCTGGCCCTATCGGCTCTATTCCCCGGGCGGGGGGGGGGGGGGGTCAAAACCCGTGGCAACAAGTGGTTGTGCACCACAATGCCGACTCCCTTGTAGACAGGGAGATGCGCCCGCAGCGCCTTTGCTTGCATCCTGGATTCCCCACCTCTGTTGGGAATGGCTTCAATGGGGAAAGCCGATGGAGCTCATTGCGATGGGCGAACAGGGCGTTCCTAGCAGCTCCTAGGTGGATTCGTGACTGCTTTCATTCAATGCTGGTACAAGCGCTGCAGCTTGCCGGCTTGCAAGCGTAATCGCAGCAACAATCGCTTCAGAGTGTGCTTGGCAAACATCATTTGCGGGTAGCGGTCTGAGCTGTGGATCTGCGTTTTTTGTTTTTGTTTCGGGTGTTGAGGAGGACAAAGTATGTAGGCGCACATTTCGAGAAAAGCATACAACTCTTTGGTCCGACTCCTTCCCAGACCTTTCGCGGGCACAAACGCCTGCCTCCGACAAGGACCGTTTGACCAACTCCCATATCGCACTCCCACAGTCCGGCCTTTCAAGTCGTCCTCCACAGAGAGCAACCGCTCCTGCCATCCCACAGACGTGGAGAGAGACATCAAGGTTGGATGGGAATAGCGGCCCGGGCACCTGGAAGGGCGATTTCGGGAGATCCGCGTGGCTTGCGTCGATGCGCTCATACTGGCGGGCATCCCCATTTGCTCGGTAAAGCTGCGGACTGGATAAATTGCACCCTTGCGTTGCCCCAAGTAATCCGTTCCACCTAAACAAAGCTCCCCCCAATGCTAAAACATGAACACCAAAATTCAAAGTCGTAATTATGATATTTAGGATATACTTTGAATTCAATGCCTACCAAGCAATTGCTCCTGCCGACCCCGAGCAGTGGCTTATCAGGGGAGCCCCCGGAAAGGGGGAGCCCATCCGGGGACAGAAGAGGACCGAAGACGAAGGAACCGGGGGACCCCTAACAAGAACAAAATGTGTGTCTCAGGGGAGTTTGATTAATTTGGGGGGGGGGGTGCTGTATTTTTGGGGGAATTTGATTGTGCTGAGCGTTATTCGAAGTTTGCCCACCTGACGAAATGGAAGACGTACGGAACATGTGACGAGGCTGGAACGGAGTGTGGCACCAGCTGGCCTTGGAATTCGATAGCCCGCGAACTTACACTTCTTTGGCACCATGGCTCGAACAAATCGCCAAACGAAAGTGCCTTCGTGACTCACTCCAGGCGACAAGGGCAACAATTTGCTGACACTGGGAAGTAGCACATGGAAGAGCAGGAGAAGGGATTACGTAGACTAAAAAGGTCTGGAACCAGGTCCCGGCAGTGATCCGCAGAGAGCTTCTGGCGAGGTCTGGATCACTTTTGCGCAGTTCTGGGCCTCCTTTTTCAAAGGCGCCAGTCGGCTGCAAATGCTATAACCCAAACGCCAGCAACAAGGGATCCAAGGGATCAGGGCCTACACCAGGACCCAATGGCTGGCAAATAACCCCAAAACAGCCATTGGGAGATCATTCCACAGACCATTTGCCAGCCATTGGGGGGTTCTGGCATCATTTTCAAGGACCTTCGCTCGATTGCTCTCATCGGTGAGGTCGCCATACAACACTCAGATTTGACCCACCTCGCTTCGCAACATCATGGCTCCTGCAGCTGCTGCTTTGCGGCTTCTGCTGCCTGGCGCTCTGCTCGCAGCTTTGGAAGCTGCGACTGCAGGTTCTCCAGCTCAGCGTCAGCATTGGCTCGCGCCTCGCGTTCTGTCGCTAGCGCGTCCTTGAGGGAGCTCAGTTCCGCTGACTGGCCTGGCAACTCTCTTTTCGCAAGGCAGCTTTCAAGCCATCAGGTTTTTCTTCTTGGAGTCCCCACCCGTAGAGGTAAGCTTTTTCACACGTTGTTTCTTTTTAGCTCACTTTCGGCACACCCCTTTCCACGCAGAATGTGGGCGATCTGGCGCTTTTAGTCCCAACGCGGAGCTCTGGAAAACTCTGATGTTGACCCCGGACGAATAAACCTGTACTATTTACAGTTCCCCTCCAAAAGCGATGAACCCCCACGGAAAAGAGAACACCCCCAATATCAATCAACGAATCAACCAGGGGTTTACCAATCCGGGGTTGCCATGGAAAGCACGGAGTTGGAGCCTTCCAACTCCTCGCGGCGCTGAAGGTGGCGACTCTTCTCCGCTTGCAGCTCCTGGAGTGGCCAAGGCAATCCCTTGCTTGGCCGCTCATATTGTAGGTCAAACGTAGCAATCCCAAAGTGGAAACATGGGCCAAAACCTGCGGTCCAATGGTGGCTGACTTTGATCCATACCCATGCCTTCTGACCCCTACGGCTCTGCGGGCTCGCCTCTTGGAGCTCGGCAACGCGCTGCGCCTAGCTGACGACCCTCACTAAGCATGTGGCTGTGGCTCAAAAAACGTCAAAAAAGGTGGTTCCCAGGTCCAGTAATTAATAAACCACACCCATGTTCAAACAACTAGGAGTTCCTTTCGAGAACACTTCTGTGCTACTTCCGTGCCAATGTAAATATTTCAGCTCCCTTCCTTCCTCTGGCACACTCCATATGTATCTGTGCCTCGTCAGTGCGAAACGAATTTCTGGACTACCACACAAACACGGGCACACCTCAAACTGACATACCCCAGCGTTCATGAATGAGTTCTACGAAGACCATCCAGGATACACCTCGAAAAAACATCCCTAAAGCTTTTAGAAACTCATGTGGATGTCCATTTGGCTCAAATGAGGCCAGGAAGGCTTGGGACACATCTTGGCCCAGCAGTCGCGCATCGTCGATCGTCGCGCCTGAGGCGGCACCTGCTGTGCCTCTTGGGCGCGCAGCTGGCAGAGCAGCAGCTTCCTGCTAATTACTGGTGTGCCGTCTTCTCCATGAAACTGAAGAAGCAACACCCAAATCCCAACGACTTTGGGTTCTCCGAAGGCTGAATTTTATTTGGGCCATGAAGAAGAACCCAACGACTTTAAATTCTCCGATGGCTAAAGTTTAGATGGGCCTTTCTCTATCCCTCATAAAGCCAGGTAGAACCAGCTATGAAACTCTGGGTCCTCTTGGGGCTTGTGGCGCTTTATGCCACTCTGGGGACTCAAACAAATGGGAAGATCCCGCAGGACGCATTGCTTAATCTCCTCCCCCTATTAATGAATGACCCCCATTAATAATAAATGCAAATCCGGGGCCCGAGGCCAGATTTCCACTCCGTACAATTGATTTTCAATTGCCCCAATACTAAACCAATACTAAAGTCTTGGAATCCTTATTAGGGGGCACTTTTAGCAAGCTTCCAGCTCCACTTTTAAAAAGGTGGGTTCCTCAATTCCCAAAAAGGTTGCTTCTCCAAAAGCTGGCTTCCCCAAAAGGTTGGGTTCTTTTGGTGGGTTCCCCAAAAGGTTGTTCTTGACTCTCTCCCCAAAAGGTTGTCCCTGGTTGTCCCTGGCTCCCTGACTTCTTTTTTTTCGCGCGGCTCCGTAGCTTTCTGCCTGGCTTCCTGAAAAAAACCAACCCCAAAAACCCCAATTAAAAAATATATATATTTTTGTGGGGATTTATTTATAATAGGGGGGCGGGGCCGTATTTATTAATAGGGGGAAGAGATTATGAACAGGGTAGGTCTTCCCACTTAGGACCCGCGGCCACGGGAAGCCCTGTGGCGGCCAAAAAGGGTTCATGATTTGTGGGAAGTCAACACAGCAGGAAAAAAGGTACCACTGAACGGGGGAAAGAGGGGCGGGCGGCACCATTTTTTGGGTAGTGTTATTTGGGGGTGGGGGCCTGATTCCCCACGTTTCACCCAGGGACACCCCGTTTACAAACTTGGCTTGAAATTTAAATGGGGTCAGTAAACCACTAATTGGTCTACCCCGTGTACCGAAGCCCGAGCGTCCAAGCATCCAACAGCTTGTTGGGCGAACTCAGGGAGCGAGTGGCGAAAACACAACCGCCTGCGCCAACTTCCACTAGCTTTCTCGCCCCCTGGAGAAACAAGAAGAAAATCCATGTCCAGTAACAAAAAAGTGGGGACATCGATTCCCTTTCAAACCAACAAGGACAAACTTAAACACAACATCTTCATTTCGGCAAAAAGCCAAGGCACTTGATGGTCTGCTCCAGCTGTTGCTCAGTTTCCGCCAGCCGCCGCTCAGCGCCGCCCCGCCTCTCCGGCGAGGTACATCCCACCAACCCAACGGAGTACCCGAAGAAATCTGGGGGCCGGGCTGCCCCGAAAAGCGGGGGGAGCAGCCCACAGTTGCCTGCAAAAGGACACCACGATGGTCTATCCCTGGCAAATTTACTATGTGGACAGCGATTGCCCCCTGCACTAACAGCCTAAACTGTTTCCGGGTGAAGTGGGGAAGCACAAACATGTCCCCCCCCCAAACCAGCAAGTTAAAGATCCCGGCATTAAAAGTTTACGACCTAAGCAACATCAAAATTGGCCTCCAAAAGATGAGAAAACAAAAACAACCAACCAAATCAGAGGAAGCACAAAAAAACTACTTTGCCAAGTGGGTCTTCCCTCCCTCCACCCAAACATCGACTTCCAGAGGGTTTCACCCGCAAACACTACCTCAACAACAATCTCACTTAAAATCATGACAACATGATCTTCCAAAAAGCGGAAAGTTTGAAACGGCCCGATTTAGCACATGTTGTGAATCTTAATCGGGCACCCTTTGGAGGACATCGTGTGCATGTCGATTCATGACCACTGACCATCGTTCAACAAACCACTGGAAATCATAGTCAATTAGGGCATATAGGGCATATTGATTGTCCATGAACCCCAAAAATAACTCGGGGCCTTGAAAGAAGGGCTTCCTCAACTTGCCGTTTTGGAAGTGTTTGTCCTTTAATGGCATTCCCAAAGACCTTGAAACTCTCACTGCTTCGGAAGCCCTAGCAAGTTTGCCCCCTGAAAAGCAATGCCATGGGACTCAAAGAGAGAGAGAGAGAGAGAGAGAGAGAGAGAGAGAGAGAGAGAGAGAGAGAGAGAGAGAGAGAGAGAGGAGTTAAGCCATGCCAAGTGGGTGGGGATGAAAGTGACATCGTGAAAATTGGCCTCTCAATGGTGGTTTGAAGAGGTTCCCACCGCCAAAAGTCGCGTTTGGAACCCTAGAATCAGTAAGCTTGAAGCGGGGCGAAGCCGCTGCTTTTCCTCACTTACACGGACTAGCCAAATCAAGTCTAAACAAGTTGTTTATCAAATGGTCCAGGCCAACAAGTCATATGAGAGTTCAGGACAAAAGGCCTGTCCAAAGTTCTGCACAGCTAGAGTACAACAATGGCTCCAAAACAACCCTGGTCCGAGGCACATTGGCTAACACGCTGGTGCATGGAAGCCTTGCCGCTCGCTTTCTTCCTGGCTGCTTTCGGTTTTTTGCGGCATACAGCATACAGTGGTCAACCGATTGCTGGGCTTGGATTGTTTGCCGAAGCAAAAAGAACCAGCCCTTGAGGGGGAGTCCAATTCCATCTTTCTAGATGGTACATGATGGTACAACAGGCAACCGATTGTTGCGCATTTTTTCTCATCCCTCCAAGCCAAAAGAACCAGCCAAAGTTTCCCGAGTTTCTGCGGGGATCAAACTCGCGCCTTTCCTCCGCGGCTTGGCGGCACTGCTGCTCCGCCTGCAGGCGCTTCTCCGCCGACTGCAGGCGCCGCGAGAGGCAGGCCTGCGGTCGTTGCTTCCCATACATACCTGGGCGTTTGAGCCTGACGTTCGAAATGGAAATATGGTCCAAGCATGTCCAAACCAGGAGCGACCTGTCAGGTTCCTTTTCAATTGGTGGGAGGGCAAGCAAACTTGGTGTTTGCCAAGTCCAAACCCAACAAGTGACTCAGGTCCAGGGCTCCGGGGGTGAGGAGGTAAGTCCCTAGATGATAGTCTTTTGGGGACCACGGAAATGGGAATGGACCCGATATGAGCTATACTTTGGATGGACGAAACCCTGCTCCAGTTGGTTTGTCATAGGCCCATAGGCTCTCATTCATCCCAACTGGAAGGTTTTTGTCCATCCGCAATACTACCGACAGTCTTTGGAAACCAACTTAATTTGGCGTCAGCTTCTGTCAAGGGACGCCGAACACATAATTCAGGTTGACAAACAAGGAGCCAATATGACAAAGCGCTTGTTTCAGATTTTGGCCTAGGCATGGAGGAAGGCATGGGCATCAGGAATCCCACCACCAAGGGGTTAGCAAATTTTCAGGTTGGGACCCGCATGATGGCTCATGTGAGCCAGCTACTTGTTGCTCCATTTACTTTTCTCCAAACAGCAGCCGAAAGCAATGGCAACTGCAACAAACCAGACCCCTTGCCCTCCCAGCAAGAAACCAGACCTGAAGGGTCCCTGTTGGGACACTTGATTTACCTTTGCGTGCCGGGGCTTGGCCAAACATCGGACCGGCACGGGCTTTCTAGCTGTCTCTTCAAATTAGGACTTGCTATCTCTTCAAACTAGCCAGGTAGATTCTTCTGCCAACACAAGCATCCTGGGTCACCTCTCATTGCCCCTTGCAATCTACCTGTTTTGAACCCGTCGAATGGGCCCCTGAGAAAACGGGTCACCTCAATTGGCCCCGGTGCGTCCAACAAAAAGCAGCTGTGGCTTGAGAATCAAGAATCTAGCTATACCGGTGTGTGTGTGTGTCTTTTGTTGTTGCGAGGGCACCCTTTTTGGGTGGTTGAAAGGAAAGGCGCAAAGAACACCTAACCATTTCTTTGAGTCCCTTATTTTCACGCATGCCCGCATTAGACACTTCACTCCAAGCTTCAACAACCCATTGCCCAGCGTGGCTAAAGAAAGGGACCCCCTTGTTGCGGCACCTCGGTTAGGGATCTTGAGAACTCGAGATCCGACGATCTGCCTTCTCCCCCTCTAGGTCTGCAGTCTGCGAGTTCAAGTGCAGCTCCTGGGGCCGCAAGTGATTCTGCGGGTCAAGTCTGAGCCGACCCAGACATATAGCATGCCTTTGAAGACCCCGCAAAGGGGAAGTTCATCCAAGAAATAAACTGCAGCGTGCACAAACTCGCGCAGGAAGGCCAAACACAAATGTTTAACACCAGAACAAATGTGCATGTGTGGGTGCGCGTCAGTTTTTTGGAGTGCCTTCTGAACCAACCCGTGGCATTAAAGCAAGGTCACCGCCTTTTGACGCTTTGGCCGAAAAGCCCGGGTTTTGGGAACCAAGATGTACATCTATGGTAGCTACCCTTGCTCACCACAAGTGTCCCTTTCCCTGCGCTAGTGGGAAATGCACAGGGATTAAAGATCCAAGCACATTGCAGAGCAAAATAAGGGTCCCAGGCTCGAATCCTGCTGGTTTGGGTTTCCTGCCTCCTTTTGCCGAAAATATTGAAAAACTATGTGTTTTTGTTGAAGTTCTGTTTGCGGAAACGCTGCTTCTTTGCGGGAAATACTGGGGAGCAAAGGGGAAATGCAAGGAAGTGCAAGGGAATGAGGGGAGGAAATGGGAAGTCGACATGACAGGAAAGCAAGGGGAAATGAAAGGGAAACAAAGCGGAACTGAAAGGGACATGAAAGGGACAAAAATGAAAACAAGGGGAGTGCAGGGGGAATGAAAGGGAAACAAAGGACAAGGACACCAATCGACACGACGGGAGATGTAGGGAAATGACTCGCAACGAAAGAACGGGACATACATGGAAAATGAAGCTGACATACAGAGAAAATGACAGGGACATGAAGGGGAGTGAAGGGACATGACCAGGACATCATAGGAAGCGTGAAAAGGACATGAAGGGGAAATCAAGGGGAAAGCGAGTAGTAAGCAGACAGTTCAGGGTCATGAAGGGGCAATGCCCGGGCATCGAGGCAACTCAGGGGGGACGTGACGCTGCAATGCAGAGAGAGAGAGAGGAGAGACACAGGGAGAGAGCAGGGGAGAGAGAGAGAGAGAGGCAGAGAGAGAGAGAGACACAGAGAGCGAGAAAGAGAGAGAGAGAGAGAGACAGAAACAGAGCCAGAGCCAGTCACAGAGAAAGAGACAGAGAGAGAGAGAGAGAGACAGAGAGAGAGAGGGAGACACAGAAAGACAGAGAGAGAGAGAGAGAGAGAGAGAGACAGAGAGAAAGCGCGAGAAAGGGAGAGAGAGAGAGAGAGAGAGACAGAAAGACAGAGAGAGAGAGAGACTAGGTCCTCAAGGGTCCCCTTTTTTTCTGTAGAGGGGCGTGGACAGGAAGGAGACAGGGAGACAGAAAGAGACAGAGAAACAGAGAGAGAGAGAGAGAGAGAGAGAGCGACAGAGAGAGAGAGAGAGATAGAGAGAGACAGAGCGAGGGAGATTGAGGAGAGAGAGGCTTGGGGGGATGGGGAGGATGGGGAGCAGAGGGAGGGAGAGAGGACGACAGAACACACGGGGGAGGAGACAAGAGAGAGAGGAAGAAGGAGCAAAGGGAGAGGACAATGCGGCGGACTGAGCCGGAGGCTCTAAAGTTTAAACGCCACTTGTTTACACTGCCTCCCTTTGGCTTCCACAAAGAAGATGGTTGAATCAACTTCAGACTAAACGCCACAAGACTCGTCCCGGGCTGCGGGGGGCAAAGGGCATACTATGGTCTCACAGGGAATGCTATGGTCTCACAGAGAACCACTGCATGGAACAAGGATCTTTCGGATTTTGTACCCAAATCAACCTTTTGTGTGTGCAATTGCAAATTTCCAAGACTTGCTCCGAAAGTTCAGCTCACTCCCCAAACCCAATAGACCAAGGTCACTCCCCAAACCTAGTAGACAAAGGTTTGCAACTGGAATCTTAACAAGAACACGGATAAGAAAAACTCGCGGACCAAAAGGTCGGGTCAAATCGGTTCTCCAGAAGTGAGTGTAAATCATGCCCTCTTGGGTCCGTACCGACCTAAAAGGTCCAGTCATGCCCTGTTGGGGTCCCGGAATTCCCGGCACATCCTCTTGGGACGCAAAGGCATGGGCTCCTGCTGCTGCTTGGTGGCTTCTGCCGCCTCCTTCTCCGCTCGCAGCTTTGGAAGCTGCGACTGGAGGTCTTCCAGCTCAGCCTTCGGTGGCCACCAGGCTAACCAAGTGGTGAACCAGGTTGAAATGAAACACCCAAGTGACCTGTTTTAGGTGTGTGTGTGTGTGTGGGGGAAAACATGTGCGAACCACAAGGTTTCCAGGCGAAAGATGTGGTTGCCAAGGGCCGATCCCTGATTGTCGGTTGGTAAATTCTACTAAATTGCCCAGAGCAACAGAGCGATCAAGTAACAATCAGTTAGCACATGCTCCGCCCAGCTGCGGCCAACGCATGTTCCGTGAAATCTCGCAATGTCTGCTAACTGTGCCAATTGGTTGGGCATGCTGACTCGCAATTGCAGGTGTTTAATCCCATCTCTGTCCGGCCCCCCGGGGCTGGTTGTTGAAACATGGATTGCTCCACTCTGAATATAACCCAACAAATCAAAGTTCGGTGGCCCGTTGAATCAGTCATGACATGTGTTCCCAACACATTGTGGTCGATGGGCGCACGCACTTAAAACCCGTTTGATTGGAACCCGTTTTATTGGAACCCATTTAGCCCTCCCCAAAGGGCATCAACCCCCTTTTCATGCCCCACTTGCAGCCCTCACTATATAGGGAAAGGGTTTGACAATTCATCCAAGGATGCCCTAGGATTACTCCTGATGCCAAATGCTAGTGGCTTCCCTTTCTGTCGTTTCCCACTAAGGGCTACGGACTTTGCACCAGTATATTGCAGGGATCCTGAAAGGATACATCCAAACACCACCTACTTTACGCAGATTCGGATCCTCCAGAGCAGGAAAATGTGATTTGCTCACTGGCCAAAATGCGTGGTTTGCAGGAGCGCGAATGGTTGTCCAATCCCTATCTCCCAATCTCCCAATGTGTATTTCGCTTCTCCAGCTTCCGGACCCTTCAACTTTTTGAGATCAGTTTGGCGGTCGGGCCGTTGCTTTTCTCGCTGGGAAAGAGGGAATGACCCTTATAAACCATCCAACTGGTGGTTTCCTCGAAGGGGACCAAAGCCTGGGTTCATTCCATTCCCTACATACGCGCCAAGCACGTTTTGCTTTTAAATGAGTCATAATCAAAACCCGGTATGAAAATGGTCTACCCAGAACCATGCTTCAAGAATTAAGAAGGCGGATATCCGCAGCTATTTATGGTTGGGATCGTCCAATAACTAACCTTCATCTACCCGGGCTTTGAGCACGTGGCTCAAATGGGCCCCGGATTTCGGCCTCCGAAGCGGCGCGCGCCGCACGCTCGGCCGCCAGCGCGGTCTTGAGGGAGCCCGCCTCCGCAGACTGGCCTGGGCATGGCGCGATTGAGCCAAAGCTTTTCTCGCTGCTGCGAGAAGTAGGGAATGAAATGAACCAAGGGTCCCTTTAAAGGAAACCACCAGTTGGATGGTTTATAAGGGTCATTCCAATTTTCTTTCCCTGCTGAGCACCAGCAAGTTATTGAGTATAGTCACAAAGCAACTTGTCCAGAACATGTATTAGACGGTTTGTGATGTGACGACAGTCTGATGGGTGCATGACTACACTGCCCAAATGTGCTAGCATTACTTTGTAAATGGCACAAAGATCGAAGGTCTGGTTGGCTGTTGCACCCAGTGACAAAGCGCTCATTCTACCGAAATGGCTAAAGACCGAACCAAAAGGAAGTCTCATTTTTCGAGAGTACCCTTTTTTGTGGGTTCGAAAGGAGGATGAAAAGGACCCCCACTCAGCTTCTCTCTAGTTGGTGGTCAAGGTGGGGTTCCCATTTACCCTCTGCAAGAACCAGGGCTTCAACTCCAAAATCCCAACCACCGGGCTCCAAGCCACCAACAACCTGAAAAGCACAAACCAAACCCTAAAAAGACCAAAGTAAGCGGATCCCCAAGGATCAAGGACCAATTGGGGGGGTTACCTGAACCACCAGTTTTACCTGAACCCACTGAAAGGTTTACCTGAGCCGCTTTAATTACCTAAACCACCAGTTTGGAGTTTGGGGGTCCAAAAACCAACCCCCGCGTCACTGGCTGAGAGTGAAGCTTGGCCCAGCCTGCCAGCTCCTCGCGCCTCAGGAGTCCTTGTACCTCATGCTCCGCCTGCGATGCTGGGAGCCAGGGGGGTGGTGGGGTTGGGGGGGTTGGAGGTTTTGGGGGGGCTTGGGGGGTTGGTGTCACGAACTTTCCGCACCTAGGTTTTGTCACTGAAATTCCCTTAAAGTTTTGAAGCTTGCTGTCACATTGCCCCTGGGACTCGCCCATGCTTCACACCTTCTGGGAAAACCGACGGAGCGTGTAGAACCAACCTCCAGACCAGACTTTCGGCGTGCAAAATTCCGGGATGCACATAGTTTCAGCCAAACTCACCTACTTTGAGGGTAGGGGACATTGAGCTGGAGCAAAGATGCCAGTGCCACGGTCCAGAATGTTTTCCGTGTAGTGTTCAGGCTCGGTTCTGTTTTTGCCTCGAGCCAAAAGGAAAAGCTAGCCAATTGGGGCCCGGCTTGTCAATCCCGGTTTGAACAATCTGCTCTCACAGCCATAGATCCCAGGACACGAAGGGATCGGTGTAGGCTCATGTTAGCCCAGGGCTGCCCCGCGTATGCCCAGCGTATGAGTCAGTCTCAAGATACGAGAACCTCCCGCAATGGGCGCGATCTACTTTCACCTCAATGTCCTAGTTGTCCTGTTGGACCAATAACCATCGCCCATGTTCAACCACGACCGAGACAGGACACCTGGTCTCAATCGATTCATGCACTCAGCGCCTCAGCAGCAGCAAACCTGGCTTCAAGCTCCTCCAGCGAAACGAAACGGTTCAAAAAGGACATGCTTTCCTGCGGCTCCTGCCTATGAGCCGGAAAATGTGCAAAAATATGCGTCAACATAGGGATTTGGACTGGGACCTACGGTGGCGTTCCCTGCAAGTGTCCCTTCCCAAGAGTACACAACATTGCTTCCTTCAAGTCATCTCAAATGTCAGATGTGAGACCTGAGGCCATGTCATCGCGAAAGCTCCGCTTTCGAAGAAGCTCCACCTAGAAGGCCAGCCCTCTGCAACGAAAGAGAATGGGGTTGTGGGGTACTCTAAACCCAACTTTGGCCATGATAGGAGACAACCCTGAGCATCTACCGCCTTATGTTGCACGTCCAACCAAAAAACCACGCAGGAATCGCTAATTCCCCGTGGGGCACCGCAACAAGGGAAGCCCCAACCCCCCTTCGAAGAATCATGGAAGTTGACAGGAGGCATCGTCAAGAGGACGGCAGTCTCCTACTGGAACAGATGGTGGGTGGGTTGGTGGTATGGGTGTGGTTGTGGTTGTGTGTGTGTGTGTTTGGGCGCGTGGGTCGGTGGTGTGGGGGTGGGGGTGGTGTGTGGTGTGTGGTGTGTGGTGTGTGGTGTGTCGGGGTGGGGGTGGATGTGGCTGTGGCTGTGGCTGTGGCTGTGGCTGTGGCTGTGGCTGTGGCTGTGTGTGTGTGTGTGTGGGTGGGTGGGTGGGTGGGTGGGTGGGTGGCTGCTGGCTGATTGGGTGGGTGTGTGCATGTGTGTGCCTGTGCATGTGTGTGTGTGTGGCAGGAATGGAAACCAACAAGAGTGCCAACATCCACTATTCGAACACATACCCAATTGCAGGCCAGGACCCCCCAATATTCCCAATGGCTGGCAAATAACCCCAAAACAGCCATTGGGAGGGCATTCCACAGACCATTTGCCAGCCATTTGGGGGTTTTTGGGGCAAGCTTTTTGTTCAACCCAACGGCTTCCTGAAATCTGAGCTCAGCCTTCTGTCGCCTCTGCTGCTCCTCGAGCCTCAAGCCGGATTTCAGGGAACCCTGAACCCGCCAAATGGGGGAGCGTGGGGGGTCCCCAATTCCATTTTTCAAGTTTCGCCACAACAGGAAAATGAGGCTGTAAATGGAATTCCAGGGCCCCCTCCCCCCAGTTCCACGTTTGAGGGGGTGGGGATGGTACATCCAAATACCGTTTCCGTAGGTCACTCACATGCAACATCGGCCTCAAAAAACCCAAGGTGACAACTGCACTTGAAATCCAAGGCACATTTGCTTTGAGTTCTGCCAACATAGGGCTGCCCTAGTATAGCCGCCCCTCAACCCAAATAGTGGACCCTTCTACTAAAATTGGCATTGGGTGCTTTGGGCAATGGCCCGAACCGGAGAAAAGCCAATTTGCAATGTATACACTTCCAAACATGGCATCCAGGGGCCATGAGGCAAATACCTCTTGCGAATCACATATAACTTTACCTCATTTTGCACTCCCTCCAGACATGGCAAGGGGCCATTAGGCTGTCCTCAGATCCCCGGCTAAAAGTTTAACTTTTAGTGGGTTAAATGGAACCCCGCACTAAATCAATTAAACAGCTAAAAAGCGAAAGAACTGGATGGCTGGGAGCCACTAAGTTGCGAGTCCCATCTTTGGCTGAGGAGCATTGCCTTCTCCAGGCACTTGCTGCGCTCCTGCTCCTCCCGTAAAGCAATTGCCGCCAAGTCCGCGCGCGTTGCGGCCGCCCTCATGCCTCGAAATCGGCGCAGGCGCGGGTTGCACGCCGAAGGCAGGATCTATCGGAGGGCTTCTGCATGGCCCGGTTGTCCAGCAAGAGGAGCACACGACAATTTATTGTATGGGATTTATTAAAGGTTTAAGAGGTGAACCCACCAAGCGAAAGGGGGGGGGAAAAACGATTCAGTTCAGGCCCAACTGACTTTATCCTGTGCGTATCCCGGGCAGGGATGCCAGCCTGCCATGGTACAAATAAAAACATCTCAAAGAACCTGGAAGTAAAAGCTGAACCTTTGGGAGAGTGGCTGCAAACGTACCAAGCAGGCAACCCCAAAGCGATTGAAAGGTCAATTGTGGACAACTGAGACAATAAATGCCACAGCCAAAAACCGCCAAAGACAAAGAGGCGGGATAGGGCGCGATTCCTCTTTTGATTGGCTCCATCATCCCCGAGTGTCCCCCACCTCACAAAACTTCTATCCCTGGGTCCTGTTGGCAAGCATGATGTGTATAAAAGTCTATGTCGCCAAGTATTCTGAGGATGTCCCCATTGCAAGTCGCAGCCATATACCCATTCCCATGTTAGGGTCTTGTTTTGAGGAAACAGGGGAAGGGGGGTTGGGGGAGGGGCGGATCCTACGAACATGACAACATCTTGATTCATGCCCCCACCTTGACTTGTTGGTTCTCCGGACACAAACGAACCACCCCCCCCAATCCATCCAATGTGGCTTGCCTTGCAGATTTGCCAATACCCGCGCTACAGCTTCCCTCCAATTGATGGTTGGGATTGGTAGTTTGGAGGTGTTCCGGTGCCCATGATCGAAATCACATCCAAATCCAAACCAATCCAACCACTAACTAAGCTTGGTTGACCCCTCTGCAAAAAGTGAACAAATTGTTCTGGGTCCAGTGTGGAAGATCCCAAAGTTCCGCTACCAAATCGCCATTTGCAAGGGTTGCCCTCCCACCCTTTTCACATGGAACCTGACCTTCCGGGGGTCCTGGAAGGTTCTTGTTTCCCCTTGAAGGCACCATTTCCCGAAGGTCAGGTTCCATGTGCAATGCGGCTGGGAGGGTACCTCATAATTACTGTGGATGGACAAAATCCATTTCTTTCCCAAGAAGCCCTGGAATGATTCGATTCCCCTGTAAGTACCAACAAACCTTGTGGTTTCCCATGGTGTCTTCGGTGGCGGGAGGGTAACCGACGCTTTCCGAGGCATAGGTGGCCTTTTGGAAAAATCGATGGCCCTGGCAAATGGAATAACACATATCTAAGCCAGGGCCCTCTAGTGATTTTCAAGCAAACCAACCAAAAGGGACACCCATGTTCTGTTTCCGTATTTTTGGACAGAAGATATCCAAAAAGGACACCGACGCTTTCCGAGGCATGGCTTCTGACGCCATCCTGCCTTCCTCCAGCTCCGGATCCGGCTGCGGTGAGGTGCGGGGGCTCGCTGCGGGGCTTAGGCCTCGAAGGCACGGATCCCGGAGGCCGGTGGACCCAAAGGACATCACCATTCACTTTGCTGGTTCCCTAAAAGAAATCATGGCCAGCCTCTTTTCAATCACCAGCTGTTTCCCCAGGGTTTTTTGATGGTTTTCTGGAACGAAGGATCCCTGGAAAGAAGGGGGAAGCTACCCCGCAGGTGGTATGTTGGAGGTAACCTCGATTTTCATAGGATGGGGTCAACAGTAGTCTCACTTCTGGAGTGGATTGGTCCAAGCCGAGTCCAACCTGTTTTCGTTCTACCACTCAAACGGGAACCAGGGAAGTGAGACTAAAATCGTCTGCCACCCAAAAAGACTTGTGAGGAGTTCAGAAAACGCGGGAGTGAGGTAAATTCATCAAATCAGTACGCCGCTTCTTCTATGCTCATGACTGCACTTTGTGTCAAAGCAACCAACACCACCATTCTTCCCACTCAGGCCCTCATTGTACGTTCATGGCAACTTCGGATCAATCCGCAGGAGCATATGTCAGATCGCGCATGTTGTGGATCTGCTTCATCCTGGGGACTTCCTCTCGCTAGCATGGTCCGCTGGATTAATCGAAGTTAACAGGTCAACGGCTTGTCCTTTTTTAGCCACAGAAACACTGTGCTCTCTTCAGCCTGCAACTTTAAGCATGATCGTTAACCGAAGAAGCAAACAAACCAAGCAGGCCAACAGTGAAACTCGGTGAAATAACTCAGCTGAACGCAAGCGAATGACAAGAAAGGAAGGCACAACCTTGGAGCATGGGACAACCAATATCTGGGCCCTGATCGTTGAGGCCAGAAGCACTTGATGTCCTTTCCTTTGAATTTCTGCACCCAGCCGGCCACGTGTATGTCCAAACATACCTGAAGCACGAAACAAACAAATCACACTCAGCCCTGCTTGGCTGGTCGCCCGAAAAGAACTGAAATAAGGACACCATACTATGTGGTTATCATACTGATGCCAATGGACCCCTATGCCAAACATCACCATCTGGCGCGCAAGCAGTTTGGCATTTAGCCCAGGCTGGTTGCAAAGCTGAGAACACAAGACCAATATCGCCCTGGTTCATCGATAGAGGGGTGCTGCCAGGCTTTGCTTGAATCGATCCAGTCAAAGCCTAAGGCCCTAAGCACGCCTTTCCGTGTCAAAACGGCCGCCAAAAGCGCGCGCTAAATGATCCAAAGGACTGAGCAATGGCACCTCTGAGCCAACCATGTCCTTGGCCGAGCCGCTGAGCCGCTGACGCATGTTCAACGGGGCGAAGAAAACCACAAGCTATGTCACTCCATGTGCTAGGCCCATTTAGGGTCACCCAAACGCAGTGTTCACAGTGAACCCTGCAACTGCTGTGCTTTAAGTTAGCTCCCATCCTGAGTGGATTGTACAAAGGTCCAAGCTTTGCGCTATCCGCTATGCAAAACACAAGTTCCAAAAAGAGAAAGTCCAGAAACTGGATGACCATGGACACTGGTCCCAAAAAGGCATGTCCCAAGAGCGGCTCCTGTGCAACCTAGCAAAGGAAAAGCCCCCTTGCATAAATAAGATCCAACTCTTGAGAAGCCTTCCAAATCTTCATTCAACAACAAACATACATCTGTAAAGTTTACAATATTCGAAAGCCTGACACAGGGATCATGGTGAGCTAGTTCGCTCGCAATCGCACACAAAATGATGTGACCGCTGCATCGCGGGTGCTCAGCTTGAACCACAGTTGCTCGCCCTTCAAGGGACCCAAACGTGAACATCTGGCAACACAAAAAAGAGCAACTGATTGGCAATTCTCCACCCCCCCACCCCACCCCACCCCACCGCACCCCAACCCCCTGGCACGCCCCCCACGAGTCGCCGAGTCACTCTGAAGCGGCTCACCGCTTTGGTCGCCTCCTGCAGCGCCTCCGTCCACTGCTGCGCCGCTTCCCCGCTGTTCAAGCGCAGCGAGAGGAAGGGGCTGCCGGGCGCCTCACAGAACTCCCGGTTGCGCTTTAGCCTAGCAGTGATAGATTCCCTTTAAAACACCAACAGAGAAAATCAACCCATATTCTGAAGCAAATGGACGCAAGCAAGAAACATCGAAACATTCAAAACAAAGAAAGAAAGAAAGAAAGAAAGAAAGAAAGAAACGAAGAAAGAATCAAACCAAAAAACAAAGGAAGGAAGAAATCCTTGTGGAACATGTTCAACCAAGACATTGCTATTCAGCACCATTGCGCCCCAAACGTGACCCTACTCCTTTCGTCGACGTTAGGTCCTCCACGCGCACGGTGACCCCGGTATCCGCTTGCAGCTCGACCTTGGCGGAGTGCAATTGCACGGCCGCCTGTTGCTTGCCGCTGCGCTGGATGAGCAGCAGGTCCTGCACAAAGCTGGCGATTCGCGGACCCACATACTGTGGATGGACGACATCCGTTCGCAGCACCAAGAAACCCTGGAAGGATGATTCCCCTGGAACTACCAACCAACAATGGTTTCCCATGGTGTCAAGTGGTGCAGGATTTCGTCCATCCACAGTATCAATCCTTGATATGAACCACTATGGGGAAACAAGTCACCGAGGGGCCCGAAATGGCCATGGGTTCATATGGGTCATACAATCAACCCTTGGATGGCTAAGGCATCCCTAAGCAGCGCCTTCTCAAGAAGGTAGGTGGGAAATAAGTGCGCGCTGGCACCATGTTCGAGCCTCTGAAATATAAAGGCTCTAGGCGTATGTTGGGGAGGGCGCGCCAGCGACCCATGAATATTTTGTTTGACGCCATGGAGAACCCCCTTGACACGGACACACAGTTGCAATGCTTGATCCTTCCAAGGAGCATATCGGGACCCCCGAATGCGCTCAATGAGAGAGGAGATTGTTGAGCCCAAAAGCTCATGGCGTGAGGCTTCCACTTTCAAAAGTAAAGCTGGAGAAGCCCTCAAACACCGATTCCCCACTTCGTGCAAGGCTTTCCCAACCCGCAAGTAGCTCCCAAGATATGAAGCCCCGTTCCCAAAACCAACAACCTTTATTACGCGCTACGACCCCGGGCGCGCTCCCCATGCAAGCGCGCGAAGCAGGAGCGGAACCAGAACTGGCCATCGAGGCGGTACTCGATGCTGCCGCTGAAGTCCTGAAACCACAGGGCGGTTCAAAACGAAGTGTCGGCCAATCCGGTTTTCCAAAAGGGGCCGGTTTTGGTATCTCTTTTTTCAAGGCGGCACAAGGTGTCACCAGGGTCCAACAAATAAATATGTCGCACACCCGATGTTGGTGTGTGATTGCACGGCCCCTTGCTTCATGGGGTGTGTCTAGTGAAAAGGGACGGGGGACTTTACAGCCAAAGTCATGCTCATACTACGCGTGTAATTGTTGCGGAACTTGTTTTGCCAAACATGGAAGTGAACAAGAACCGTTTCCAAAGGATGCCAGCCTCCAAACCTTCCATGATAGTTGGATGGGACTGGCTCCAAGTGAACATCCGAGAAGTTCTCACATTTCTGTTTTGGGGGTGATCTTGGGGATATCGCTGACCTTACCTCTGTGTACCTCAAAATTGGGGTTGGTTCCCTCTTGTGTACACGTCTCGTTTGAGCAATCTCCTTTCTTTGGGTTTCCTTTCAAAGCGGTGTTGCCCAACCCTGCTGAACAAACTCTTGACCAGTAGGCGAAGCGACATTACTCTCAACGTGGATGATAAAACTCCAGATCATCTGATCCGCGCTCAAAACGTCCCGTTCAAATCTGCGTCGCAAGAAACCCTGCAACGAGGTGCTTGCGCAAGCATATGCGAGCCAGGGGACAGCTTACGACTACGCCCCTGCACTTGCGCAACATGAACCCTGCTGATGACTCATGACCACTGCAAAAAACATGTTTTGTTAGTTCGTGGGCGAAACGACTCTTCTCCAAACACGTAAAACTACAGATTCGTTGTGGCTAAACAATGGAACCTGTGATTGAAGACTCGGGGCATCTTTGGAGTTTGAAAGGTCGCATTCTGAACTCCGAGCGAGCCGCGGCGAACATGCATACTTTCCTAAACAAGCTCAGGTTAAACGTCTAACCAAATAGAAGCCAAGAATCAACAAGGGACACCGCTACCATCTGGTGTCAAAAACAAAGCAACATAGAGCACACACACCAGGCACAAGAAAGCAGAATACGAAACAATGCAAAGCAAAGAAAGCAACACGCACAAACAAAGCACAAAGCAAAACCAAGGCAAACACAACGCGCACACACACACAACGGGCACAGGCGGCCCGGCAACACGACCAGCGAAGCAAAGGATGGGTCCTCAGCGCTTTTCAGCGAAAGCCTTGGAGTGCTCTCCATGGCATTCGGCTGAAATCCAGGCTCAACTGGGAAATCCAAGACTCATCACCGGGTAAGAAACCTAGAGGAATTCAACCACAGGAAATCCGGTTTGCTTGCTGGGCGTGAAACCAGCTACACACATCTTGTGTTTTTGGTGGGTGGCTGGCCAAGTTCCAGTTAAAAGCCCTGTAGTAGCTGGTGGCAAAAGAACAACAACACTTGGACGAGCGCAACTCCGCGCCAAAGGTTTTGATGGTGGCTCTTTCACTTACCCAGGTTTTGATGGTGGCTCTTCGGAGCCCTAGCTGCGGATGAGCCAAGGTCAGAATATGCAACTTGGTGCCCGTAAACACGAGGAAATTAGGTTGCCGCTTATCCCCGGGCGGTTGCAGGAAAATTGAGAATCACTCAGAGGGGCTGGATGATCGCAAACATGAGTCTCCCACAATGCTGCGGTAAATTGGCTCCATAGTACCGCCTTCCAATTATTTACACCCGCATGGCAGGTCCCCCGTGTTTCTGCCCATATTCGGTGACTCCCAAATGCCCCTCCCGGAATCATTTCGATCTGTTGACAGCACAACCTGCCCAGTCAGCTATCAGCAAACCTCGGTTGGAACCCCGGTTCAGTGAGTAACTGGTTCCGCCAACGCTGGTCGTGCCAACAGCTTCTCACAGAGGTAACGCACGGCACGCCCTGCGTTACCAAAGGTCAGCGGGGCGCGGGTCACCCGCCTTCGGACCCGCAACACGCACCTCCAGCCCCAAGACATCCTCTTGGAGACAAAAATGGACCAAAGCTAGAGGTGTGTTCCGAAGGTCTCGCCATGCCGAACCTAGCACCTCCAATTCAGCCAGCATGGCGCGGCATGGTACATGCGGTACTTGTATTCCGGGTCATTCCTGGCAGATGCGAGGCTACGACCACCTGGCAACTCTGAAAGGAGCAAGATAAAAACAAATCGAATATAAACAGCAAAATAGAGGGAACAAAAAACAAATGATATTCAAAGAGCGCGAGGAAAAACAAACAAACAAACAAAGCAAGAGAAAGAGAGGGAGAGAAAGAAGACAAGCTGAGAGCGAGCGAGAGCATACAAATCAAGCATAAGTTTCATCCTGGATCAAGTGGAAGCACATAAACAACACATTCGCAGGGTCAACTCTATTGTCGAGGGAAGATTGCAGTGATAAATAGCTGAGGTCTGTTTCCTGATCGCCTGTCGATGAAACATCATAGTTTCCGACAAATCTATAGTTATTTGGGTGTTTTTCCAAATTGGGAACCCTTGAAGATGCTTGGTCCCTTTGTTGCCCTTGAAAGCTATCATAGCTATCCAAAAAACAGTGTCAAACCCAACGCAGAGTAGCGGAAGTCAAAAGGAACCCCACTCCCCTGAAGATTTGGCTTGGGGGACCCCCTTTCTCAGGTTCCCATGCTCATCTAAACTTGGTTGACGTTGGAAAGGGAGCAACAATTAAAAAATTAGCAGTTAAGTGGGGATTTCCCGCTAAACCACAACAAGCAAAAATGTAAAATGTTTCCAAACGACAACCATGTAAAACCCTGAGTAGTGAATCGTCGTCCAAAAAGCAGTAGTTGGACTGATGGCAAACAAAAAACAGGAACAAGAGCCTGGACCCCCCAAAGGCCGGCAAATAACGCCAAAACAGCCATTGGGAGGTCATTCCACAGACCATTTGCCAGCCATTGGGGGGTTCTGGCGGAAACCATCCATGTTGAGATTCCTCTTATGATACGCCCGGCTGTTGTGTCCAGCCGGTCTGCATGCGCACCTGGACAGCTGGCTCAGATGTGGATTCGTCGTCTCCTTGGATGTGTCAGCCCCAGCCAGCGGCCCGGAAGATGGCGCACCACAACTCCAGTTGTGTCGTTTGGCACCCCACAACAAGGGACAAGAGGTGCTGAACAACTGAGAGCCACAAGCACTTGGAGAAAGATTAGGCTCCCAAACAACACACACGCCCTTGGAAATGTGACCTTGGTTTCAAGAACAACCGTGAACAGGTGGTCACCTTTGGCTGTGACGTGCCTAGGATAGGTTGCCAAAGCTGGAACACTCAAGGATTGACACGTCGGCATTGACAAACAGCTTCACTTGTTTGAGACTTTGCTTTGCTTGAGGGTCCCGTCGCAGGTTCCAGTGAGTTATGAGGAAAAACAAGCGCCTTTCTTGGCCGTCGATTTCAACGGGAAACTGCCTCCAAACAAAAATGGTCAAGAACAACCGGAAATAAGGGCAGCGCTGGGCGTCTGGGTAGTTTCCAACAGGAGAAGCTCGCTTCATCTCGCTTCCGTGGAGTTGGTGGCCCAAAAGGGTGAAAACGTGCGCTACCAAAAAGACATACGCAGTTGAGTCCTAGGTTTGGGGTTGAAAACTGACAAAACCATTGCTCCCTTGCAGCTTAACATGGAACCCAAGAACCCACCGTGATGCAATCTCCTTGTCCAGGACCCCTTTAGTGGCCATGTATAAACCTGGCGTGTAGCCTGTACAATTCCCCCGACTTTTGTGAGGGATGATTATTTGTCTTGAAAACAGGATAAGGATGGGTGCAAACAATGGTTTGAGCCCGTGGAGGGTCAAACCACACGGCTGGCGGTTGACTAAAAAATGATCAAGAGGTTCCCAATCACACCATGTGTGTCACGCCCAACTTGGCTGGCCTTTTGTTTTCTGAGACTTCAGTCTCAAATTCACTGAAGTAAACCTTTCCTTGGCCCACAAGTTCCATTCCAGGGCTTCGTACCAAATCTAAGACGGCCAACCAGATGGGTGAGATACTCACGACCTTGACAAAATCAGCTTTGGGAAGAAGCTATTCAACCATCCATCTGCACAAATATTGTGTGTGAAGTCGACTGTGCAAAAGGTGGAGCTGGCGGAGTAGACAATCCTCATGCTGAAGGATGCCACGTGCTAGGCGTCAATCAACACTTTCAAAACCGGAATCTGGGCAAACAAACCTTCCCAAACTGGAAAGAACAAAATGAATCCCCAGGGAAGGAAGCTTCAGGGGTCTCATTTTTAGCTCCGCTAGGTGAGCGACCCATCACATGGGCGGCAGAAACACGCCCGAGCCGTGGCATTTTAAGCTGCTCCGGCCAAGTTGCGATGATGATAGAGGCCGACATCATATACTTCACCTGCCATGGCCGCCAAGTCCATTGGGCAGTCCCTCATGGAGATATGCTCCCTGCACCAAACACCGGGCTTCCCAGCAAACCTACAACACACAAACCAGCGTGCCGACCCAACAAGTCGCCGTTTGCCCCCACCGTGGTCTTCCCCGAAAAATCGAAGTCCGGAAACTAGGGGAGGTATCTCACAGCAGTCTTCAGTGTTGCTGCAGCACATGTATGTAGCTATATGAATATATGTGTATATATATATATATATCCGCGTGCTTTACAAACAACTCAGTTCCCGAAACGAGAAGTGGATCTGCAGGAAAAGCGCCCACATCATGGCAGCTTGCCTTACCCCAGACTCGGTGAGCCAGGGTATACCACCCCCCCCCCCCGCGCACATCAAAGACATAGGCCGGCTTGTCGAGGTCCTTGTCCTTGGCCGCCGAGCCCGCTTGCCAAGCAAATCGAGGCCGCAGGCGATACGCAATGAGCACTTTCATGCACTTGGTGCTTGACAACGTACTTTGTGCCTTGGGCAGCTCCCCTGTTGGACAAGCCCATGTAGGCAACAGTAGGAAGGGCAAGAGTTTAGCTGTACTTTCCCTATGCTTTCCACGGATCATTGACAAGACTTTCCCAAATCAAGGAAACGCGAGCGGTTTCTAAGAGAACAATGGGGGAAGAAGGAGGGATCCACCTTTCGAATTACTTTCTGAACACACCAAAACTTGAACCCCTTAGCCCAAAGCGCATCAGTCTCACCCACAGGTGTGCCCGTGTGCTCTCAGTGCGGTGCGGCTTTGTGGGTTGGCAGCTGCCGCATTAAGCCCATATCTGGCTCGGCGAGCGACGCAACCCAAAGGATAAACCCTCATCTGGATGTGGGTCAAACGTATAGGTACCCAAAATGGAACCCTAGTAAATGGAAACAATGCCTAAAATCTGCGGTCCCCTGGTGGTTAGTGTTGACCCATACTCATCTGGAAAGGCGACAAGGTGGTCGAGATGTCAGATGTGCCCCGACGTTTCGACGGCCATCAAAACGGGCCAAAGGTCATTGGGGATGCCCCCGAACGGAAAGGGTGTGTCCATCTTTCGCCTCAGCCCAGCAAAAAGGGAAAGGAGTGGAATCCTCTGAGCTCAGGCACCCAACTTCAGCTGTCAGCTGGCTCTTTGGCATGGCATGTCCAAGGATGTCTTGCTCATGAGTTCATCCTCGGCCTGCGACAAAAAACAAAAAACAGAACACAACCGTGGTCTTCCAAGGACCCGCAAAACCAGGGAAATTCGGCCAAAGACCTGCTTTTCCAGGGTCCTGCAAGATCAAGGACAATATCTGCTTTGGATAAGCTTCTGAATCTGCAGTTGAACCCTGATAGCATGTACAAGGTGTGTGTGTGTGTGTGTGTGTGTGTGTGTGTGTGTGTGTGTGTGTCTGTGTGTCTGTGTGTCTGTGTGTCTGTGTGTCTGTGTGTCTGTGTGTCTGTGTGTCCATGTTTGAAGCGAAAAAGTGCTACATACCTTTAATCTAAGCTTTGTGAATTTAGAACAGGGCGGCTGGCGTACCCACAAATGAAACATCCCTCTAGGCTATTCTGAACTAGCATCCAGCCGTTCGCAAGACTACCACGTTGGTAACTTAGCGCGCATCCCTAAAGGCAAATTTGGATACCCCCAGCTCTGCGACGGCTCACCCCCCTTCCAACCGCGTGATCCGGGCAGCTTACAATGCGCCAACCTGAAAAAGGAATCCCAAGTCCCAAGCAATCGGCATATCATGCAACAGCTTGTGAATATTGCAGTTTGCGAAACTCTTAGACTATTTCTCCTCATATCCGATTCTGCAATTCTGTCTCACTTGCCTGTACTCCTCTCGCTTGGCAAATCTCAAC